AACGACTTGACACAGCTCAAGAAGACGCCCGTGAGAGCGCGAGCCATTCAAACAGCTACGAAAATCGATCGGTGCGATCGATTGACAGATTGGCATTGAGCAAGGCGAAGTGTTGTTCACATTTATTTGACGTGAACAGGAGTACAGAAACCAAGCTCTGACGATGGAAGCAAGCGAGCTTTTGAAACGTCAGCCAGAATAAACTCTTGCCCCCGAAATCGTCTCATCTTCTTCCTCTTCCGGGGATGATGTAAGGAATACTGTAGTTTATCCCTACGTAGCGGAAATCTTTTTAATTTTGTGTGCTAACAACGAGTGTCACAGAACTAACATCTCTTCAGCAGTTATATAAACTCAGTATGCTAAAACTTAACTATTTCATGCAATTCGCGGACCGTTGAGGTATATCATACATCCTTCAACTTTAAAATATAAAATTAAACATTTCGATTGATCATGGAGTTAAAGAAGCTGACGGTTTGCTCGCCAAAGAACGTGTTTCCAAGCCTTGAATTCCCGCTGGCCTAGAATGAACTCAGTATGTTTGCTTATACCACCTGCCATCTTGCGTTACAGCGATTGGGCATAAAAATGGCTAATGTATACACTCTCTTAGAATGCCCTCAATCCTATTTCTAATATCAAATGTCTTTTGTCTGTTTAAAATGTAAAATCTGTGGGGTGAATAACTAAAGGCGTACTTTTTTGATATTTGACGACGTAAATGTTCACATTAGTCTAATCACTCAAATTATGCAAGCTTTGAATACCTCCTTAAGTTTGAAATGTGACGCGCTTCGATCGCTAGAACATTGAGTGATTCTGTTCTCGTAACCTTCGTGTTTTTGTTCCACCTTTCCAGGCTCTACATTGAAAATGCGAAAAAGAAATTCCAGACATCCTCCACCAAACGACAAACAAACAACCCAACATTTGAGGAGTCCTTTTCGTTTCAAGTGAGAATCATAATTGCTTTATTGCTGTGCAATTCATGCGAATGCAAGATCATAAGAAACGAATGCCCAGTGTTCCCTTGCCACTTATTCACAAGGGTGTTTTCTGTTTGTTCAGAGCGATTGCTCTTTTAATTTGAAGCTCTCACGCTTAAATGATAATTAGAATTGTGCCGCACAGAGCGCCGAATTCATGCGTTTGTTCTGATCGCATATGTTTCAACTAGGAATGCCTTGTATATTCGTGCAGTTTGCCCGTTTCCGGATGCTCCGTATTCTTAACTGAAAATGGGCATATATCATCACATGCGTGCTTCAAAATGTACCTTGGTATTCAAAACGGCGATCCTAAACACTGGACGTAAATAGCGTTTCCTATCGGGTGTCATCCGAACGGCGTTATACTATTTTTAATTCGCTCAGTCCATTGCTAGTAATCGGTCACCGTATTACCTGCGGATGACGCACAGGTAACTGTACCTTTGTATCGAATGCTTTCAACAGTAAAAAGAACACGTATGCCTCAATTATTCATATTTGCTTAATTTTGTTGAGTAAAACAGCTAATAATTAGCTTCCTTTCCGTCGTATCGTAGGTCTCATCTAATGACCACATGTAGCCACAAAAACTTACTAATGGAATCAATTTAGTACGAAAGCAAATGCGTTTTTAACGGCCGCTTTAGCTCGCAAAATAAGGCGCAAACGGTTAGTGGACGTAGAAAACACACTCAAGTTTGGTTACGCTGAACGCTGAAATTAATCGATTTCTGAAAAATATCAAATTTTTGAAGTCGTAGCTTTTATATATAATGTAGAAACCATTAGTGTCGCGTAATCGTAGGAATACATTTAGCTGCACATGTGGACTTCGAATGAACCTGATCGACATTTTGTATGCGTTTACTACAAGCAAGAAATCCAGTGTCATGTAACACTGGAGAAGAAAGCAATGGGACACTTTCATTGGATTTTTATTAACTTGACCATTAGGATTCTAGTAGATAACAAGATTGGAGCGTACATTATGCAGAGGATGATTTGGGCTTTTGCATAATGCAGCTTTTGTCCCAATCTTGGCTTTCCACATTCGCTACAATAAATGTTTGAGGAGTTAGCCTTGGTTGTCAGAAACGCAGCTTCAAAGCGCCTGAGCAATTAAAAGGTTATTCGGAAGCTCTGTTGTATTAAATTCTGTTTGATAACTGCGCGCTCTTTATAGTCAAACATCTCGTCGCAGGCATAGCATTTTGAATCTAAAGAATCAACAACGCACTCCATTATTGTGCTCTGGTATGACGCGGAGAAAAAGCTTTAAATATCTCTGCTACAAAATGCGCAGATAGGATGCCTAAACATTAATTCACACATCACACATTTTCTGTGCATCAAAGAGGAAATATTAAGTTTACACGACAGAAATTTAAATTTTATTAAGAAGTGTGGACATTGTAATCCTAACGTTTTTGAGGTGGTATATAGATAAACCAAACGTCAAAACT